ATAGAAAATTTTCGGATGATCTTTAGGGATTATTGCCAGATTTAAATCATACGCATTCGCGTGGATGAATTATTTCAGTCGTGTATTCGTTTGCAAAGTCACATTAATTCGTATAATCTTCGTTATCGCATAAAGCGGAGTACATAAACCTCTGATGCTTGCAAGCCAATAATAGAATTTCTCTCTTCTGCCCACGTTATTTCCGAATGAAATGGATAATACCAATTTCCACAATGCACGTTGCAAATGCGTTGCGCTCGATAGATTTGACGCTCTCTAATGTTTAACGTCGCCGGTTTATTCATTGATTTCAAAAGCGCGGCCGCTCCGCTTAAGCAGAGAAGTTCTGTTTCGAGATAAATAAATGTAGGATAATTGGCGTAATTCATCGTCGTTATTAATGATCTTTTTCCGTTTTATGAATAGATGACATTATTCATTTGAAATTTTACCTTCACTGCTATCGCATATTTACTTTGAACTCTTTAAATAGTATTGTATCAACTGTAATCTTACGTAAAAATTTTACATTGTTTTCTCAAGTCGGTAGAAATATAAAATATTTTGAATACAGTACAAATATTCATTTTATATTTGATATTTTAATTTAAAACAATGCATTTCGCAAAGCAAATCCTCTCGATTTAATATTTCACCAGATTGCGTTTCTGCAATAGACAGTATTTCCTTAACAGACTAAAACCATGGTGCGCGCATGTTTTCTCTCGTCGAGAGAAATTGCGATCTTTCTTGTTTCTGTATTTTCCAAGCGAAGTAAACTTATCTACATTATTCAAATGATCCTTCAGAGTTCTCGTTTTAGCCTCGTCCAATATTATTCGCAACCGCCACGGTGAGGGGACAGAATTCATCCTGTACCGCGGGGATCAGCGTCGCAGTGGATTAAACTATGCACGACCATGTCGGGAATGCGTTGATAACATTATGCGCATCTTTTTCCCTCATGAATGTCGCCGAGATGCGGACGGATGGAACGAGTGGATTTATAATGGAGGCGAAAGATTCCCGCGTGCCTCGACAAGACCACCGTGCATAATATGCCGCTCGCAATACAAGGGCGGAAAATCAAAGCTGAGTTGCAACCCTCCCTCTTATCCCTCGTCGACTTGTTATTCCGCATTATACCAATCGTCCTGCCGGATTCTTACCTCGGTATCGATGACGATACGCGCGCAAAACCCGTCGAATTGCGCGTGTATCGCACGGGCGTGATTAAATTCATACTCGCCAAGCGAGAGAGGAAACTATTCTGCAACTTCTCCGCTTCGCAGATTCGCAACTACGGATTAAACGAGGACGAGTAGGACAACGGTAACGATGGCAGGCGGTAAGGAAGAAACGTAGACTCTGGGGGATGTCGGAACGCGAGATAACGTGCACGGTTTAGACTGCACTGTATATACTAAATCGGTCGCCGAACAAGAATACACGCTCTAGCTGCAGCTGGGTCGTTTTAGCTGCTGCATGTATACTGCCATATTGTATTACATTAGCTTGTACATAAAAGAAAATGTCCTTGGCAGAAAAAGATGATTAGGAGGAGAAGGCATGGGCACGGCGTCCTTAATTTTATCTTTCGATATATTCAGATATGTTGTTGCTTGAAAACCAAGCTTATCAAATATGAACTATAATCGAGAAAATATTAAAGTCATCTTGGTATTTTATTTTATTTGATTGAAAAAATAAATAAAATAGTTCTCGCTTAAGTTTCGCAATAATCAAATCAAAGGGTAATAACTCATTAAGCTCGTTAGAAAATTATGAACTTTTTTTAGATTATTAATTTTATTATTATTATTATAAAATATTATCATAGGTAATATAATATATGTTCAATTTTTTTGTCAAGAAAAAATAGAACATTTAGTTTGCTGTTATATAACTGTGTGGCGCTTTATTTTCTGCGGTACGATAATCTTAAAAACCTTATAGAACTGGCATCGCAAACATTTCACATTGACTACGTCCATCAGGGATATGTTCCGATGCGCTCGAAACCGCGCAATATAGTTGCTCTGGGAAAATGGCTTTCATTCGCGGCGGAATAATTGAGGTCACCACCGCACCCGATGAACGCGGAAATTGGCCGAAATCTCGAAAATCGAATTTTCCGCCTTCGTTCCAATTTCAGTCGGCTTTTAATAAGTCAACAGACGAGCTCGTTCGATATTCAGTCCAACGTGCGGTACCACGGCATAGGCCAATATCGAACGGTCGTCCTCTCCGTCGTCGGCGAAGGCGCGCAGTTCGCGTTTCGTTCCAACGCGTCACGTGCACGCCGTCACCGCGAACCACTTCAAATCTGACACCGCATCGGTGCACGTACGCAGCCGGTTTAAGCGGGCATGTTTGCATTGCCAGTGTTCTGCTAACGAACCTATCCAACCACCCCGAACCCGTCTCGCAAACCCTTAGCGACCCGGTTGACTTCTCGTCGTCGTTGTATTCAGCTGCCATGTTTCGCCCTCCGCTTCACATATTCGCTTTAATGACATAAGTCGAAACTTTGGAGGCGTCAAAATCACCTTTTTAATTCTCAATCCCAATACGTCAAACGTGAGACCAAATTTTTGCGTTCCAAGCGAGGCAGGTATATTTATTTCGTTTAAATATGCAAATATGCAAAAATCAAAGTTATTGCTTTTATAATATCTGCAACAAAATTACTTCTGTTTTTCTATATTCCTTCTGCTGCGCTTAAAAAAGAACATAAAGTGCATTGTTTAAAACTATATATGTGTATAATTAGCTACTTATATATTTATATATTTATACTTAAATACTTTTTTTATAAAAATTTTTTCTCAAATCAGCAAATAAAAAGGTAAAAAATTACAAGAGTACGAAAGAATCAAATATATTCATCAGTTGTGTTCAGATTTATCAAAGATGCACTTTAAATGTATTCTAAGACTAATTCAAATGCGAAAACTGGAGAAACACGGTCAAACTACTGTTAGCATACGAGTCAGTAGGGAAGAGAAGGTGAGTTGTTCCCTGTCAGAAACAGTTACGAATGCATTTAAGGAAGTTAAATCGGGATGTTTGTTCCTCAACATCTGATGCTCTCTGGTAAATTCAGATATTTGTAAGATTAGTCTCAATTTTGAAGGAAATATAGCAACCAATATACAATGTTATGAATGTATACGAATCAAATTACTATTAACTCCAATTTACAAGCTTATCAGATTGTTTACCGCTGCAGAACATTTAAAATTTTTGATTATTATTTTAAATCAAATCGGCTTAACTTAAGATATTTAATTTCTCATTGCATTGCGCGGACAAGTGCTTGATAATACTAACTCATGAGATAAGCTCATCTTTGTGAAATGCAAACGGGCTGAACGAAATGACAGAATTTGGAAGCATCAGGTGTTATTATTTGAGAAAGACACATGCACCCACATACCACACACACATACACACGCGCGCGCGCGCGCGCACACATCGCACACGCACGTGCTCACACGGAAGGCACGGAAAAACAATGGCGCGGGCGCTGCTACCGTCCCACGTAAATAAAGAGATAATTTATGATCGTTACACAATGATCGTCATAAATCGCATTTCTACTGGTCGACAGAACGTGCCGTTATGCGAGGAACTCCGCTTCCGCCCGTTAGCCTCAATCCCTCCCCGTACCAACGCGCTGTCGATATTTTACCGCGGGAACGCAATACACGGCCAGCATAATTTATCTGTTTTCAAATATGCCCGCGCCGATAGATTTACATATTTTAATATAAATTCCTAAATGCCGGCCCCCGTCCATACAGACCATCCTATGAAGCGCCGAGTACATCTTTATCGATCATCACCCCGCCGCTCTTCCGCGCTTTACATCTCTTGCTTCTTATACACCCCCGTCTTTCCTTAATGTAACAGTTAAGAGCACCTAAAAGTGAGGAATAAAAGCGACGGATTCTCTGCATGGTTTTGCGTTATTAATTGTACTATAGCAAGTAAAGTAATAGCGCGCGACTATCATAACTTAAAACTTAAAACTTAAACTGTCTGCTATTTATTTTCTGCCAAGTAATTTAGAAGGAATAATGTGGAACAATATTATAAAACTATGAAAAAAATATCTTTATATATACAACAATACTAAATGTAATATACTCTGCAAAAAACTCTACCCTGTCCTATCATATTCTAAAAATATATAATATTACATTTTACTATTTGAATTTAATTATTTAAATTTATGGAAAAAATCCTAATTAAATTGAATCATAGTAGTCTTCGAAATGCATGATGAATCGAATGCAGTATCTCACTATAATGAGATGCGAGAAACGAGATCTAATCAGAGCTGGAATATGAGACGTACACTTAGATTTTGACAGGACCCGACATCCGATGCATGCCGGGAAAATCGATTTTCCTGATAACGCGATGCGATTCCCTCGAACTGCTTGAAGCACGACGGAACTTGTTTGACACCTTAACTATCGCTCGCACTCGAATGCCTCCCTAGTTGACAGTCGAGCTCGGTACAGTGTGAGCCGCTATTGTCGGAAGTTCACGTTTAGAAGCACACGGACGCGCAACATAGACATAGGAAACGCACGTTTATATATAGGAAACGCGTATTTCGAGCGTTCACGTATAAATGTCAAATGACACCTCTGTATTTGTCATGCGCCAAGCAAGATGTAACCGTTGGGTGCATGTAGCAACCACTTCGTCGAAATTTGAATACAACGATTACACGTGAACATATTGCCGATAACGTTGCGTCGCGATAAGCGGAATTTGTCACAAATCTGAATTTCGGATATATCTTTTTAGAGCGACAATGCAAGTGCGAGAGATAAACGCGGCGATATCCGAGATAGCTGGCATTTGTCTCTTGAAAGTATATTGGTCACATATATCAAGTACACATTCTTACAAAATATACATATCTTTGTGGATATTATTATTTACTACTATATTGCTTTATGCATTAAGAATAGACATATATAAAATTTCAGATTTTATTGCATTTATTATTTTTAGCTTCTAGTTATTTAGTTACAAATATGAACATTACATTAAAAATAATTCTCATCATAAAAACTATCAGTAAAACATAGACAATATTATATTAAAAAAAAAGAAAACAACTTAGATATAAAAAATTTATATCTTTTACATTTATAGAAAAAAAGAATGCAACGCAATATGAAAGCATAATCTTTACGAGAGTTTTTTGTAGAGTTGCAAAGGTATCAAGAACACTTATTGAAAATATTCTTACGGAAATTCCCCAGTATGCTGGATGGTAAGCTCCGTAATCTGCAATTAAATACACTTAAAATTTTCCTGTATTTATTAGGAAGAAATTATGTTAACGATCGTTTGAACCTGAACTTCTGGTCGCGTCCCAAGAGCATAAATGAGTGCATCTGCTACATCTTTCGGTCGAAGAGCTGGTACTTTATCAAAAAAATTATTGAGTGCCTCCGAATGCTCACATATACTCGTTTTTACGAGACCAGGACTAATGCTCTGGAAATATTTAATAAATAAAGATCTTAATAATTATCCGCGAAAAAAGAATATGCTTAATAATACGTCTCGTGAAAATAATATTAGGAATTTTACAACGTCTGACATCATATCCATGTGCATAATTAATAATAATCAGTATTCACATTTAATTGCATATATGATATGAATATTCCATTATCACTAAACATTCATTATCTAGTAAAAACATGTTTACTATTATCTACGGCTCTTATTCTCTTATCGCTAAATGGATGTCATCAATTTGAATATCATATATAACAATTAATATAAGTCTTGTAAGTTAAATAAATAATATCATTTCAATACATTGACATAATAATCATAATAATCATAATTACAAAAGTAAAAACTTTAAAAATGATTGCAGCTTACGGTAATTCGAATAGGAGCTTTAACTGTTGCTAGTTCTCGTCGTACTGTATGAGTCAAAGCGACAGTTCCATGTTTAGTAGTAGGATATAAATTAAAGTCAGACAAACCATATTCCGAAGTCAAATTCGTCGGTAAATAGTGGCCTAAAACACTATATAAAAATATTAACAGATAATGAATAAATATCATGTCGTTATAAATTTTTTAGAAATATTTTCTCTCTTAAAAGAACCGAAGAAATATTCAAAATGTTATTTCAAAGATTTGTGATGCTTATATTCAATTAACGTACAAATCATAAATAACAATACCTGTTGATATTGAAAACATGTCCTTCAACGTTTCGATTACGCATCGAACGCACCACTTTATTAATACATACGGCGACTGTGAGGACATTAATATTTAACAGTCTTTCAAATGTCTTCCTGTCACTCTCTGCAAGTGTAATTTATGAAACTTTTTTTAAATGCACGACGAAGAAAATCGAAGTCTTTTGTAGTAGTATCAGTGAAAGCTTTTATTCGCCATTCGCGAGTCGTACACAGAATATAAAAGTAAAGGTCCCCTTTTTTCAGCGAGGTAACATCCTTCACATAAGAGATCGTTGTGTTTTTTTGAACAATCTTAATAGCGTTCTGCGATTAAAACTCGATTTTTAAATGAGATATTTAAATATCTTTCAAAAATTCTCCAGATATCTCAAGACTAAATGCGTTAACAATGTTTTTCATAGGTATCGTACATTATTGGACTTTTTTTAAATAAAAATTGCAACACATTCTATACTATTTTTGTAAATATATGATTAATTCAGAATTGCAAATTAATGCTAATTTAGTTAATGGCATAATGATGAGATAAAATGCGATAACACTTATTTCCATAATTAATTAAAAAAAGAATCTCATTTATGCATTAATTACTTAAATCTAAAAGCTAAATCTATATTATTGTTTAATAATTTGTACAAATATATATTTATGTCATATCTGACATACCTATTACTCGTGAATATTCGCAAATGCCAGTATTGTTGACCATAATATCCACACCACTTATTGTCTCTATATGTGAGAATGCTGCATCAATCTCATCCTCGAGACTTACATCGCAGCATATAGTATGTAACGTGCCCGGGAAACCTTCTCGCTTGCAGTCCGCATCGAGTTTCGCTAATCTTTCTTTCTGGACATCCAGAGCAGCCACGTTCACTCCGTTTTGCAGAAGAGCACGTGTAATTGCTTCGCCGATGCCGGATGCAGCACCGGTAACGACTGCGGTTTTACCAAGCCAACGATCCATAATTGCCTGTCTGCAAGTACGACGTAGCTCGTGGTTGACATGCCACTAATAACTACCGAGCCGAAAATAATTTCAAGCTTGTAAAAAGTGTAATCATGAGCATTTACAATCGCAGTGACGTTAAATTCAGTCGTGAATTTGTGGAAATGACATTTCGATTAACAACACTATAATACTAACTCACTACTTACTCGTATCTCTTTATTCGCAACCGTCAGCAACTAGTTTATCATGAGAGATACACTGTAAAAATAATCACGAATATTAAAACAAGCGCGTCTGAGTCAAACGCATCAGGCCAAACCGGCCTTATCGATGGTTTCAAGTGGACTGCACATATAAAACGTAAAAAGATAATCGGAGCAATTTAACTGAGTTGAGCTGAATCACTCTTTCGAGAAGAGGGGGATAACTAAACTCAAAGATTACACATGATTACATAAGTGAGTAGAGGCATACATAATAATTTGAAATAGGTGAATATTAATATAAACATATTCGCATATTTTATACATACAAATTTTTATTTTGTATTTTACTAATTTATTTATCTTACTAAAAATTCAAAATTTTCAATTGCAATTCACAAATATATTAATTATGTATATATATATATATATATATATATATATAATTAATATGTATTAATTTGCTGTTATTAAAAAAAAGAGAAAATATATTTTTAAGATAAGATTTATTTTTAAAAAGACACGAACCTGTTATTAATTTTTTAATTTATAATCCATGGCTAACGAATTATTATGTTAAGAATTTTTGTACTCGTATTACAACTCGTATTACAACTCTAACAGAGAATATTCCGTGAAACACGGGAACCATTTTTCGTTGGAGACATGTCCTGAACGTTGAGCACGTATAGGCTAGACACATCATGAAGGAGGACAGAGATCCTTCGGCTTAGGTTTATCCGTTTACCTACTGGTTCCGTCCTATGGTTTTGCCATGGCCTTTACTTGTTTTAAGTGAAGCGCGACGTGACCTGCCGCAATCCCCTTCGTATCCACGTACAATCACATTGGCTTCTGCGTACCGCCTCTGAACCAATCTCTTCCGTGGAGACATCGGGCAGAATATCAGGATATTTCGAAATCCCGGAGATTCCGTTAGACGACTTCTAGAGACCTATCCCGTAAGAGAAGGATCTTATTGTCAAAATATACAATACAAATATCTTACCGTCAAAAAATTTGTGCTTTAAAACATTAATGAAAGATGTCTGCCATCTATATTTCAAATATAGAATAGAAACAATCTGAAAACATTAGAGTTTAAATATATCTTTGTGTGTGTATAATATATTAATTATGTAATAAGCAAAAGCAAATATTACTGGATTGGTTCAATTAATTAATTTTTCGCGAATCTATTAAAAGGAAAAGACAGATTTTACAAAAAATGTTGCAATTGCTTTTAATATACTTAATATGGCATGAGCGAGACGCAATAGAAATAATCTTATTTTAATACTGAACATTATATATGATTTTTATTACAAACAAGAATATTTAGATGAAGGTTGGACGATTGTATTTCCACAATTGTATTACTTTGTTTTATTGAAGTGATAAATTTATTTCCTCCTCTCTCTCTCTCTCT